TCATTGGTATTGTAATATCAAAGGTGGAAAAGCAAAAAAACAACTTGAGTTATTGTAATTAAAAATCAATTCAACTCTATTCAACATATATGTCGCTGATCAGCCCACCACGCTTCAAACCATGGTGGCTGATTATGCTGAAGATAAAGTMATTTTGTCAATAAGTRAAAATTTGGTGACCTCTTCATCAAACTTACAACTTCATCTCAACCTAATGACTAACTGGTACGACAAATGGCGTATCAAAATAAACCAAAACAATTCAAGTCACACTACATTTACTCTCAAAAACGGCGTATGTCCAACTTTGAACAACATMACAATTCCCACATCGGATACAATAAAATACATGGGATTCAATCTCGACAAACGACTAACATGGAAAAATCATATAGAAGATTGACTCTCAACGCCCGTGTGTGCATGCTCAGCCCACTAATATCGAGAAATAATTACATCAATAATCTAAAAGTCAAACTTCTAATTTACAAATCTCTCCTGAAACCTATTTGGACTTATCACATACAGCTCTGGGGTTCAGAAAAAAAAAATCCAACACCAATAAAATCCAAGTATTTCAAAACCTACCTCTTCGACGACTCTCCAATGCATTACCGTTCATCTCAAACCTAACATTACATACGATTTTCACATAGAAACCATCAATGAAGAAGCTCAATTATTTTACTTGCGCTTACGCATGCGACTTCTATTACACCAAAATTCTCTTATTAAAAACCTCTCCTCTTTAACCCTCTCAGGAAATCCAAGGCGCAGGCTAAAAAAGAAATGGTGTCGTGATCTCCTACAATTACCAAGTTAAAATATACAATATATATATATATATATATACACACACACAATTTCAACCATCAATAATTTAAAACAATATATATATATATATATATAAATATATGAATAAATAATAATTCATGCAATCATGCTAAGTGTTGGCTTCTTAATCAATTTATCACGTCCTGTCTTCTCTTAGCACATCATAAGCTTATTGTACATACTTGCATAGATTGCTTGTTTATATAAAAAAGAATCAAAATATTAGATTAGATTAGATATAAATTCAAATTCAAATAATTTAATTTTTTTAATTTAGTTTAAAGATTTAAATTTAACTATATTTATTTGTCTATTCCCACCTCCAATGTGTACTGTATAATATTATGGAATAGGTATCGTACACCATGTTTTAATAATACACCGATAAATATGTGACAGCAATGACTACGTATCACATTTTTACCCAGTTTTATTTGTACAGTAATTTGTACTTATTTAAACAGCGCTAATTACTTATCATATATTTTTAAAAACATATTTTATGTTAATCTTATATAATTGATTTATAACTAAAATACAGTGCTATTTTTATTATTATATAGCTTGTTGTAGTATGTAGGTTGACGTTCTTAATGTTTTGAAAACTTGGGTTTTATTTGATATTATCAGAGTAACATCATGGGCCATAATTACCAATAAAGTGAGGACTGTAACACAATATATTATGCATACTTATATAATATGGTATATTATAATGATCTTATATGTAATTTGAAATTTCTCTTTGGTCTCTATACTATTAAATTCCAATTCGTATTCGTATACACGATTATATGATATAATATTATTATTATGTTGTATATTTTGAATCTTATTTGTTTTATCCTCCTTTAACTCCCAACTATATTGACCATATATCATATAGGTGGTATATCACTTCTATAGAGGTTATATTTATATAATATTATTGCATTATTTCATGTTTGTTGTCAAAAGTATTATCATTAATAATAAATAATTTTTGTATTATACATATACCTAATATAAAAAAAAAAAATTATTAATAGTAAAACTGATTACTAGGTTAAKTAAACATGTATGTAATAACAATAACTATAAAGTAGCAATATTTAGTAGTAAGTTTTTAGCATATTATGTAACAAAATAGAACTTGGTTAAACAATAATACATTATATTACATATTATATAAGGAATCTGGAATAGTACTAGAAAAACTAGAGTCCTTCAGTGGTGATCGCTTGATGGGGTCATTGTGACTAGGTATTGAACAAAATTGTTTATAAAGTGTTACATTTTAATTATTG